AATGCAAAACCATAAGACCCTATCTGAAAAATAACTAAAGCAAAATGGATATGGCTCACATGGTAGAACACCTCTGCAAGACCCTGAATTCAAACCCAGAACTGGAAAAAAAAAAGTGTCCCTACTTGAATTTGAATCTTTAGGAGAAATTTAAAAATCTGTATTCATTACAGATTTATACTAATTCTGACACAGACTGACTCTTGAAGGAAATATGTGAAAGGTTAGATTGTTTCTCGAGACTTTAGAGTGAATCTGGGAAATATTACCCTCTCCTAATGAGATGGTTATATAGGAAGGGTGAAGAAATGTAAATTGAAGTGTGTAAAAAGTAAACTTTACTAATATCAAAATTCCCAAGAAACAGTACTAGGATGGAGCCCAATTCTTTTTTGCCTGCCACAAAACAGACTATTTCCAACATGTAATCCTTCACTGTATTTGGCACTGTATTATAATACTCATTCGTTACATTATAACTAAACAGATTTGGGGTAACTATTTTCATATAAAATGTTTCTCAGAGAAAAGAGTTCTGGTTTACAATGAACCATTTCAGAAAGTTTGGGAGTTACACACAGTAAGTGTTGCCTGACTTTAATTGATGCTATTAATATGTTAACAGTGAAGTTAGCTGGATTACACAGAAGCCTAGCAAAAGCATGTATTTATAACTAATAATGGGTCCTTCTGATATGAGACCATAAAAAGTAAGTACATTATCTTACAATATTTTTACAGTTATCTAGTTGCTATTGTCAAATGGCGCTGAATGAGTGAATGCACCCCAATGCAACCAAATGAACCTCACCTTCAACTCCCATCACACACCTTATGCAAAATGAACTGGAAGGTTAAGAGCAAAACTATAAAACTTGGAAAAGAAAACACAGTACATCTTTTTTTTTTTTGGAGTGGAAAGGAAGTTAGGCAATGATTTTGCAAATACCAAAAAAGAAGTGTTTTGATAAACTGACTTTATCAAAAGTAAAAATGTACAAAAGACAGACCTGGCAAACTGGAAGACAGTATTTTTTAATCCCTAACAAAGGACTTCCATAATACAAAGAACTGTCACTAGTGATGGAAAAATACTTTAAGAATTTGGCAGTTCTTCAAAAAGTCAAGCAGTGTTAGCATATGACCAAACAATTCCATTCTTAGCACATACCAGATAGAAATTAAAATTTTCCATAAAGGAACGTGCAGATACATATTCATAATAGCATATCTATAATATCTGATAAGTGGATGAATCTCCACCAACTGTTAAGTAGATGAACAAATATGGTGCAGCCATACAATAGAATACTATTCAATCCATCTTCCAACATGGAAAACCCTGAAAAATGTAATCTTAAGGAAACAGAAACAAAACCTGTATATTGCGTAATTCCACTTAAACATGAAAATCCCTGAAAATATCTTATGGAAAAAGAAACAAAAAGTTGTACATTGCATGATTCCATTTAAATTAAGTATTCAGAATGAGTAAATCCATAAATACAAAGTAGAGCAATGGCTGTCAGAGGCAGAGTGGGCCAGGAGTAGGGGAGAATAGGAAGTAACTACTAATGAGAATGAGGTTTAATTTGGGGGTATCTAGATGAGTGGAATTAGTGATCATTGTTGCATGGTCTTATTGCTATATTAAAAGGCATCAAATTGTACATTCTTAAAGTACATGTATTTTTAAAATTTTATGATATGTGAACTATGTCTTAAGAGAAAAGCAAATCAATACAATTTAAAATATGGGAAAGATTTAAGATGTCGCTAGCAGAAATATACAAATAACAAAGAATATGGAAAGATACTTAACACCAGCCAAGCACTGGCAGACGGAGGTCAGAGGATCACAGTTTGAAGCCAACCCAGGAAAAAATCTTCAAGACTCTATCTCCAATTATCAGAAAAATGTCAAGCCGGAGGCATGACTCAGGTGTAAGAAGCTCCAACAGCACCAACCCTGAGCAAACAATCCAAGCCAGAGAGTAAGGCCCTGAGTTCATGCCCCAGTACAGGCTCAAAAAAGGGAGGAAAAAAAGATACTCAACACCTTCAATCACTACAGAAATGCAATTAAAGACAAATGCTTTACCATTACACATTAGAATATAAAAAAAAAATTGATGACTATACCAAGTGCTCCTGAGGGTTCAGCATAAACTAAATGCTGACACAATACATACTGACCAAAATGAAAAACTGTCCCTTAAAGAGCAGTTTCAGTTTCATGGTGTATTAGTCTGCTTATACCATAATGAAATACCTGAGGCCGGGTATCTTCTTTACAAGAAGGAGGTATATTCAGCTCACAGTTTTGAAGCTGAAAGTCCAAAGAGCACAAGGCGGCTTTAGAAACACACACACTCCACCTCCTAGTGGCTGGCACCCCAAGGGCAGAAGCCGACGCAAGAGGGAGAGCTCACCCTGGGATACAGGGAGCCAGGAACCACCACTCCTAGCACCTACTCTATGAGACCCGGCACCTTCACTTAGAACCTTTGGAGAACACATTCACCCATAGCCAAACCACAGCCTGACCTTTCTCATAAAGCACTTACCGAATAACCCAAATCCAATGCCTATTTACTCGAGAAACAATTTATGTTCACACTTTAACCATAAACAAATACTACAACAACTTTATAGCTGCCAAAAATAAAACAACTCAACTGTCAGACACATTTACAGTACATCCAGAAAATGAAACACTGAAGGACAGGAATGAAATACTGATGCTCTCTTTCAACATGGTTGGTTCTCAAAAGCATCTTAAAAAGTCACGCCAAAGGCTACAAACAATATTGGTGTATGTGCATGTGTGTGCCAGTACTGGGGCTTGAACTCAGGGCCTGGGTACTGTCCTTCAGCTTTTTCACTCAAGGCTGGCTACCACATAAACCACAGCTCCTCTTCTGGGTTTGGGCTGGTTAACTGGAAATAACAATCTCACAAACTTTTCCACCTGGGCTGGGTTCAAACTGAAATCCTATTTCAACCCTCTGAATAACTAAGATTACAGGTGTGACTCACTGATACTCAGCAACATAACTTCATTTATATGACACTGTGAAAAAGCAAAACTGACAGTGATGACAACATCTGTGGCTGCCAGGTGAGGTGGGTCAACTACAAAGTAGCAGCAGTGGGAATCTGGATGGAATTTTCTCTATCATTATCATGGGGGTGGATGTTCTCTTTCACTATTTCTCGAGGCAGCTATTTGACCCCCCAAGAGTGAAATTTTCAAGTTTTGGATAATTCTGTTGTTAAATCATAGTCTACACAAACTTTTAGCTTAAATGTAGGAGCAACATTTTACTACAGTACAAAGCACAGCTCAAGTGGTGTTTTTTTAATGTATGTACATAAGCATATATATGCACACGTGTATATATATACATGCATACATGTATGCATACATAGATACACACGCACATAGGTAAACATTCTCACTGTGCAACTGAGACAGGGCATAGACGGTACGATTTGCAAACGTCTGGTAGTAGCCAAAGGCTATGTTAGCATTAGGGTCCTAGTTCTGTCCACTAGATCATGGGGACTAGATAACGATGGCAGGTTAAAGGGGTGCTTTTTTTTAAAATCAACCTGAATTACTCGTTCATCTTATTAGTAAACAATACTTTTGAAGGCTGAGAAGTGTTCAAGGGAAGAGAGCACGGGAGGGGCCGGGGGGGGGGGGCGAGAGCCCCGATACAGTATTAACAGCAACATCCCTACCGTGCCTGGGACACTGGCTTTTCAAAGGACTCTCGCTGCTAGCAGATGCGGCCAATAAAAAGGGTGTAAAACAGCACAGATGGGAGCACTAAAAATAAGGTTCTAAATTAGGGACGGCGCCACGGGAGAGGAGCGCCGAGAACGCCTCCCTCCCTCGGCCGGCTGCCTGCTTCCCTCCTCGGCGGCTCGGTGGGAACAGCTGACCCCAGGCCCAGCGAGATCCCCGAAGCCTCACCCTCCCACCCGACCCGCGGCGGTGACCCGCGAGCTCGCGAGCCGCCGGGACGGGGCGTGTGAGTGGGATCCGCCGGGCCCGGGCACACGCGCCAGGCC